TAAAAGGCTGGAATTTCACGGAGGTTTTTTTGGCCACGTCTAATCCGAAGATTTCAAACTCAGCCTCCACGCTCCCCTAGGTCTCATGTACGCATACGTCAAAATTTGAACTGGCATCGTGCCAACTCAAGATTCAGGCTGACCAAGAAGCTGTAGAGAACTGCAATTTTTTAGCGTTACTTGTTGCCCAGTAAAGTGTCCGTGACAGTAAATTGAGCTTTCCAGCCTCTCGGCATTTCATGTACGAACTGTGAAAATCTAACACAAGCACTTTTGTAACTTCAGAATTGAAGCATCTGGAGGACTGGAACTTTCTAAGCATAACTGACAGTGTTCTTTGACCAGGTGGGCGTAAAAACGACTTTCACATCCTCTGCATATCTTTTACGTGCGAACGCATGAAACTTGACGTAACTCCGCAGCCGTAGCATCTAAATTGCTGCATTTTTTAAGGCATGGTTTCGGAATCATTGTAAATCATTGTAATGATTACTAACAGTCGTGGTGACTACTGTCAATTCTGTTAGTTAAAGGCATCTGTCGGAAAAAAACAATGCTATTAGCAACAAAAACCTGCGGGCGGACTGTACAAAAAACGCACCGGGAGCCGGTGCACTTACGACTAAGTTGATATATTTTTTTGACGTACATCATGGTTAATGTTTCTTTTAACGTACATCATTTCCCTCTTTGAAATTTGAGCTGTGCTTATCTTTAGACTAGTAGTCGTTTCAAGTATCAATTACATATGCTTTGAATATTTCTCACAATTATAATTTTCCAAATAAACTTCAGAAAATGACAATTATATGTTTCAGCACTGCACACAGCCGGCGCGAATGCTGCGGCGGACACCTTGCAGCACACTGAAATATCGGCATTCGGGGCACCGCCGTCCAATGCTTCGTCAAGTTCGTTTCACACTCACTTTTCATCTTTTTTTTTTCCTTTTGCGCACTACGTGCATAAAATACTTGCTTTTCAGCGAATGCTTCGCCGGTCCCGTTCGGGATGGCGCCACAGCCAGTTCCACCGATGCCTCAGAACCAAAATCTTGCCATTTATGAACAGACACCATTTTGTTAGTTTGCAGCCTAGTATAATAGCCTAATATAATATGTCTTAATTTATCAGTAGCTGTGAGGATTTCAAAGATTATTATTGGAACTGCGAAATCGTTTTGGCGTTCTGAAATTCTTAGTTTTTTTTTTTTTTTTTGAAAAATTGCGCTGAATTTATGGCTTTTTTATCTATGTATGCAAATTTTTCAGCACGCACTGATGGCAGTTACTCATCGTCACCAGTGATGCCTCCGCTTCACATGCATCAACAGGCAGCAGCTGCTGCTGGTCCTGGTTGTTCACAGCATTCTTGCACATCTCTTCTTGTTTTCCACTGTTTCTTGCAAAAAGCTGTTGTTATTTGTTTCTAAGTGCACACATATCTTTGAAATATGTAATACTGTATTTTAGCGATGTCAGATTTGCCTACAGGTAACGCACACTCTCTTGCTGTTGTTTATGCTTGTGCGTGTGTTGTGCCGTGTTCGTGTTAAAAGTGATGCTGATGG